AGGAATGAAGATGGTTTGAACAAAGATCTGGGCAGTGGATATGGAAGGAAGGAAATGGATTCAAGGCACATTCTGGAATGGAAATGACAGAGGTGAAAGATGTCGTGGGCATGGTAACTCCAAAGGGAAGAATTTGGAACACTTGGGCAGTTTTGTGGATTGTTCTGTCACTGCTGAACTGTAGACCTTTGGGAGACAATAGGGGCAAAGGAATCAAGAAATGCTTGATGTGTCTGAGTTAATACTATTACAATAGATATCCAAATAGAAGCGGTAAGTTTGCAGTTGCTCATAAATCTGGAGAAGAAAAGTTTAGACTAAAGATAAAATTTGGGCATTATCAGTGTATTGGTGATTTAAGATACTGGAGTAAATGAGGCTTTCTAGAGGAGAAGGTAGGCAGGGTATTTGGGTAAGATGAAGACACGGAAGTATTCATTGAGTTTAGGAGCTCGAGTTGTTCAGGGGCAGGTGAGGGGTGGAGTCCCTGCAATTGCGCATGAGTGAATGGGAGATGAGGAAGTAGACAGTGTGCTTAGAAAAACCTTTAAATGTGGGTAACAAAGGAAAATGGAGGAATGGAATCAAGGGAGAATTTTTGAAAGGGGAAAGCACAAGAGCATGTTCGCGGGTTGATGGAAGCAATCTTGTGTAGAGTGTAACAGATCAACAATGCAGGAGGAAGGATGGAATTCTGTGAGAAGGTGAAAGCAGAGGAGGTCCAACATACAAATGGAGGGACTCCTTTTGTATAACTAAGTTTTAAACTTTGCTAGAGGGCATCTGCGCGCCCCAGAGAGAGACTGAGCAAGAGAGAAGGAAAATGAGAAAGCCCCACTGTAGGGGATGGTCCATGCTGCAATCCTTTTCTATTCTCCTCTCGGGATTTTGGGTACACATGCACATGCACCTGGTGTGTTTTTCAAGCTGCCAGTTCCTGGACTCAACTGTGCAGTCAACCATAAGGGATCCAGCTGCCTTAATCACAGCCACTGGCTGGCCCAGGGCTGGTTTTTGATAGGCAAATTTTCTATGGCATCGAGAGAGAATATTGGAATAGGCTTGTGTCGATTCCTTGGTTAAGTCAGATAGTCTATATGTGTTGCTCCTACACTCGTCCCATTTTTGACCGGTTGATTTTAACCTGTTTGCTTTGAAACATCTTCCATGGTGGGTCCTCCTCCCGCTCGCTCACCTCCTCCTTGAACGGTCCAGCCATCACGACTCCCCAGCACATTTCCTGCCACTGCTTGGAAATCACACCTCGGCTCTCCCCTCTGAATCTCCTACTTTACTCTGACTCCTGTATTTGTGATCTCTAAATACTTTGACTTTGCTGGTCCGTATCAGATTGCATGTTCTTTGAGGGTTAGCAAAGAGCTTAGTTCCGTCACTGCTTGACTTTTTCTTAGTTGTTTTGTTCATTGATTTAGCTAACAGATATTTGCTATGTTCTTTCTATGTGTCAGATAGTTGTGTAAGGCAATGGATCC